AAACTATACATTTACCTACTGATTTGTTGTTATGCTTGTTCAGTAAACATGCAGGTGTTAATTTCGATGTCCTTCCATATTTTTCCGTTTCACAGATCACAATTAATGGCGCACGAGACGCAGCGAAGTCAACCCCATGGATCTAACAGCGTTCAAAATGCGTCCTTGCAACGCTCTAACGCACTGAATTATCTGAACACCGCCTATACTAGCTCAGAGGATATATATCACATACAGCGTGTGACTTATTCACCGAACAGGGTGTCTGCCCCTTCCACAATTTGCTTGTCACAACCCGTCCCCAGCACGTCCTCTCTTTACCCCGCCGACGCTGAACCTCCTTGCGTTCCTGTGTGCAGTTCACAGCACACAGGAGGCATCTCTTACGTGCCGACACATGTGGATTCTACTAATTTGACTAATGCTGCACACGGAAATCCTACGGGACACATGACTCATGTGCAGTGTAATACTAGCTCCAGCCAACCGGATATGCTTGAGACTTTACTATCTCGCAACAGTTACACTCCACAAGTGCAAGTGGTTCAGGGATACTCTCCTCGCTTAGTGACGTCTTTGGCACCAAACCAGGGCAATCCAACGCCGAGCGCGGTTGTCATGGCCAATCCAGCAGCAGCGAAACACGTGACTGTCGTCACCACTAGCCACTCGACTGTACAAAATTATCCCACAATCACTGCATCCTCAGGAGTGGCAACTGACCCCGAGAAGCGTCAGTTGATACAACGGCAGTTGATTCTTCTGCTCCATGCTCAACGTTGTCAACGTTACGAAGGGGAAGGTAATGGCCGAGCCTGCCAATGTTCAACACCTCATTGTCGGACAATGCGTGGAGTTCTTCAGCACATGGCTACTTGCACAGAAGGGAAAAACTGCCAGAAACCGCACTGCGCTTCGTCCAGACAAATAATCGCTCACTGGAAGTACTGTAACAGCAGGGGTTGCCCAGTTTGTGAACCCCTTCGACAAAATCCCCATTACCAACGAACTCAGGTTGCTCGTCAACAACCGAGTCAAATGCCCACTGCTTCTGGCCGCCCTCCAGAAGTGAATGGCGTTGATTCAAGTCCACAGTCTACTGCACCCCATTTGCCACCGTGCAACCAACCCACACGATCTCTGCCGACACCAGCCAATGCAATGCCATCAAATTCACTTCGCGTGGTTTCTACGACAGTGCCGTCCACTTTGAGCATTGAAGTTCCCAACGTAAATGGTGTGTGCAGTGTTGCTTCTTCAGGCAATCCACCAATGGACCAAACAGGCTGGCGAAGAAAAGTCAACATGGCAAAACGTGATCACGTTGTTAGGCGCATGTAAGTTGTCACTTCGTTTTTCCAGGTTCCCAACTCAATCGCGCATTTAGCTTCACTTGAAGAAAGCCTGGCTTTTTCGCCGTTTTTTGTCATGGCGTGCACCTCAACTTTTCACTGTAATTCGTAACAATCTATTGAGCAAAGGTTCACTGCAGTGGTGCAACTCGTCAGAAGGCGTGTAAAAATGTAGCTGCAAGTGTATAGTAGGACTTCATTTTGGATGATGCATGTCGTCCGACATTTGGATATCGGTTGTGCTTGTTGGTCTGCCGATATATTTGATGTTTGGGCATAGAGGGCTTTTTTGAACGTCACGTATACATTTTCACTATCACCCCAATGTCGTTTTTCTAGCAGATAATTCTGCACTCCGCGTGGTACAGGGGATAAAGTATCCAAAACCGCCTCGCGAAGGTGCGTGGTTGATGGTGGTAAAAACTGAACTAAACTGGCTAGATAGGAAGTTCAGTAGCCTTTTATGCTTTGTTAGCTATCTGTTGTCTTATGGGCGTATCCTTTTATGTCAACTGAAGCTCACGGATTTTTACTGTGGCTCGGACTATTCAAATGGCATACTTAGCAGTCAGTTAGTAGCCCCAACATACGGTCAGCACTTTGCATGCATGGCTACACTTGGTGTGCTCGATTTAGCCTACAACCTGGTGTAAGGCCTGGCAATAACGAGATCGGCTTTGATTTGCTGGATTATGTTGGAGATGACACCTGAATCGTTTTTATTACACGCTTTTGTGTGATGAACAGCAGACGGAGTGAACCCCATAGTCACGAGAACCTGCTATTCAGTGATGGAAACCGGTGACCTAAATTCCGGGACTTGGAATGGTGAACCACATGGCCCGCTAGGTCAGGCGTGTGACCATGAAACCCTTATTGATTGTAACGTTTCTATGTCGAGGCTTGAATTCATTTGAAATGCTCAATGAGATTCAGTACTACTTTTTATCGTGGTTTTGTTGACCGTTTGCCAGTCGAGCTGGCCCCGTGAGCAGTGGTGGTCGAGCGACAACGACCAGCGTCGCGCCAGTGTCCGGGTCTAATTTATTACACCATTTGCCTCAGCTGGGAAGAAACAAGCTTTTTTCACTGACAAGTCGGTTTTCTGAATATCTAGCTGTTGTCCACGCCAGCCCTCGGGGAGTGGAAGTTGTGATCGGGTCTTAGTTACGTGGGCGTATATCGTAAACCGGTAACTCCAAATTACCACATACGGCTGGTAATCGGAGCGGCAGCGGACATGGTAGAGGATAGTTTGATGAATGCTGTTGCCGGGCGATATAAGAGATGGCGAACCATTGCAACCGTCGTTCAAACTCGCTGCAACCCTCAATAGTCGTTGGAAACTTTTACCCGTTCTTCATTTGCGATACCAGTGGTTGGAACCCTGGGTCCCCCGTTTTTTTTAAAGTCATGCACTCCTGAACTTCCATCAGTGTTAAGTGATTGTAGGAATTGTTATCTGAAACTTGTCGATGCAAATCCATTTCTCTCAGTATTCTTTAATCGACTAAAACTTCTGGACATTGTTCATTTTTGCATATCAACTGCGAAAACGTGAGTGGAAACAGTGTCTTGGCAGTTGGCATCAAAAGGAATGAAGAATCGAATGCCATCAAGGAAATGTGTCCACCTCCAGAGCAGTAGATGTCAGGTTTATTAGTTCAAGTGTCTTTTTCACCACCCCTTCGAATTGTCGCCCGGTTTTACCATTATTTGTTTTTGTCATCAGAAGAAACCATCTGTCATTACGTTTGAAGTGAATGAACTCGAAGCAGCATAGACCTCTGACAGCGTGCATGTCGAACTATCGTAGAGAAAGTAATGCGAAACCAGCCATGAGTTAGCATAAGCTTTAGTGCGAATATTCCGACGCTAAGGGTATGAGCATGAAAGTTCAGGTCCAATTCTCGATAAGCTTTATTAGCAAGTATCGAAATGAGAAAGCCGTGTCCTGTGCCAGATGTTCAACTTGGATTTAAGCACATCACCCTTGGTTGCTCCATGGTCGCCTGAAAACCACGGCAATGAAACTCGTTTCTCCACTCTGTAGCAAATGTCCTAATCAGACGAAAAGTAGCTCGCTGACCATCATGCGCATGCTTCACAGAGAGAACCTTTCATTTGGTGTTTCCATTTCAGACATGGTATTCTTATCAGTAGTGTACACGCTGCTGCATCCTTGCCTGCTCTACCTAAGCGAAACCATTGCATGTAGGTTAAACTATGTTTGAACGCCACTGTCTGTGCAGCGCGGCACAGATTAGATGAAATAGTTCCATGCATCGTCGAGGTTCGTTATGTGTTATGTAATCGCGATCACCGATTCACTTCAGCGCTTGTAGCGGCTTTTCATCTCCCAAAAGTGAGTGATTTGAAAATGAGAATTTTTAAGACCCCAACCGAAATTTACGCACGGAAGTGTCTGGTTAATTGTCGTAAAAAAATGAATGCGGCAGGATTCGCTTGTGTCTGGAGTCGACGAGGAGGAACAAGTGGGAAAGGGACATAGGTGCGAGTCCCATAGTGCAAAAGCACAGTTGCAGTTGAATAAGGTTGAGGCAGCGACTGGTGGATAGTGAGCTGGTGATTGCAAGGTACATTTTAGAAACGGGTCTTCAATGAAGTGAAAAGCCTCCGAAAGCTATCAAAAAGAAAATAGATGGACAAAACTCCACCTTGCACGACTGCAGTGAAGAAGTGAACGAAAATAAAGAAACGTCTGGTGTGAAAGAGAGCCGATCTTGCGCGCAGCACGAGATAAAAGTAAATTATCATGGGATTACCACGAGACAGAATCAACATAAGGGTAGTCTCATTGAGTTGCATAAATTTGTGGAAAGGAGAACTTGGAGGTCGAAATTTAATGAGGATAAAGATTCACTTGGAAGAAGAAAAAGATACAACCTGTTTTACCATCATTACAGAGAATATGATAGAGACAAACCCAAGCGAAAATAAGACACTGCAATTCAGAGAAATACTGATGGATAATCGCAAAATGCTTATGCAGTGCACGAAGGGGAAGAGAACAAAGAGTGGATGGGCTTCATTAGAAAAGGCGTAAATAGGACTGAAAGTCTAAGGTCATTGATAAATAGGAGAAATGTGCTGGAAAGTACAGAGCCTTGTGAGGCTTCAGCATGCTCAATCCCAGATCGAGACGTAGTCCCTTCAACTTGGCCGGAGATACTGCGGTCGTTGCAATAACTTGTTGCGTAGAATGGTTTCTGAGGAAAAAATCAAACTGGAGTAGTTGAGCCATCAGATATGAGTCTTGGATGCAATCGATTGGTTTCGATTTGTCCAGCGACACCATATTGGTTTCTCTGTGGTGTTCGAGTGCTGCTGACAATCTGCGAAATGAACGCCATAGATAACTCACTTGAGGGGAATGTGATAATTATTGTCGTTCGGGCTGTCACTTTATTTAGGGACGGGAGTTTTCTTGGGGATTGGTAACGCCCCGAATTTGAGAGAAAGAAGCGACGCAGAAGAGTGCGAATTTAGAGGACCATTTGGTGGGGATTCCGTCTGGTCCCTAGGGCTTGTGGGTCCAATGATTTGGCACATTTTTTGGTGATAATGAGGGATTGAAAAGGTGCTTTCTATATGATATGCGGAGGTTTGGATGGATAATTCGGGTAGGATATAGTTGGAGGCAGATTGGAGAGAAACACTTCTGCTTTTTAAGGCGGGTTAAACACCGAATTACCAGACGGATTAACGATTGATGGGAATTTAACGGGATAGAACCTACGAGATGACTTCTCAGCAAGTGGTCAGACCGTCCGGATTCCAGAATGAGCGGTTGATAACTGTGCTGCTTAGCGCTCGTTATCCTTCCGTGTTACTTGCGTGCCTGCAAGAACAATAGACGAGATTGGGGATGGTAAGCGACACGAGCAACGGTTCGTTAATTTCTTTAATGAACACGACGACTGGTATTGTTGAAGCTTTGTGGCGGAGGTTTACTGGGTTTAAGGAAATAAGAAATGAATCACCGCATACTTTGTAAAAGAACTTGGGAAATTTAGAAGCCGAGATGGAGGCATCAGTTGAGAAACAACGTTTATTGCAAAACTAAGAAGCCCGAGATTTGCGAAGCTACTCCAATCAGCCGGAGCGTGCATCTGGTATTGAGAGGAGAGTGAAATGAGTTTTCCGCTGAGCCCAGTGGAGGTAATGTAATCTTTTTAGACATAGGGGTTGAAAGTGGACAAAATCAAGGGTATGAGCGTAATCGCTAGCGCGGGGAATCAGCTAGTTGGTGTAGATTGTTTAATAAGGTGACTGATTTTGCTTAACGTCCGGGAGTAGTCCTCACAGTGTAATAGTCATTCCATGTGATGGTCGTTAAAATCCCTCACAATTCTTAGCTGAGCTTCGGAGTCTGCTTCAAAAGTGTTCAAAAGTGTTGCCGAAGAATTATCAAAAACGAAACAGTTACTAATCGTGGAACGGTTTACAATGCAGTAGAAGTGACAAAAAGGGAACCAAAATCCCAAACACATAGTCTGGAACCCGCAGTTGGTGAGATTCTAGTGGAATGAAGGGTAGAAGCAATTCAATGGTTGATGAACGCATGAAAAACAGCTCAGGCGATATATTAGATAAGAAAAGAATAATTGGAAAACTAAAGATAGGTGTCGTCTTTGGTAGATGAAAGTTGGGTTTCATATAAAAGTAGAGCTCAAAGGGAAGTAGACAAGAAATCGATGTGCAATGTTGCAGTTCCAGCTGCGAATGTTGGTAAGTACAAGTAGGGATCATGTTTACTGTGCTAGTCATAGTGAGATGAGAGGAGTAACCAGTGGTGGCGCAGTGGTTTTATCGCTGTCACAGGCGTGCTTTGGTCCAAGGTTCGAGCCCTGCCACTGCCACCCGACTTTGGTGGTAGACAGCTTTGCTGTTCTTCGGTTCAATAACATACCTAACCTATCGGGGCCTTACGTGGTTCACTACTCCATGTCCATTGCTGAACA